TAGCAGCTCCCAGGTACCTATTTACTGCTGGGTGAAGAGGGGCGTGTGTGTATGTGTACGCACGTACGCATGAGGAAGAAGCTTTCACCCACACTAAAGAACAATGACAGGCGCTAGAGAACATGGGTGCGTGCGTGCGTGCGTGCCTGTGTGCACCCGTGCATAGGAGAGGGCGCGCCACACTAACTCAGAGGCAGTTGTCGGCGCCCCGGGCGGGGTGGGTGGTGGGTAGGTAGGGCTGGGCGGGTGCTGTAGTGTGGGGGTGCTTACTCACCAAGCCCAAGACGCTGGCTAGAAGGCCAATGAAGGAGGACGAGGCGAAGGATTGAACTTTTGCGTAAAATACAATTCCAAAATATTTGTGTTACATATTGAAGAGATTCGAGCAGATATGTAAGATGGGAATTAATTTGTATTTTGGATGGCATCTCTGTGGAGCTTAACGGGAAGGCGAGCTATGGGCCAGGGGCCAGATTCACGAAGCAGTTACGCAAGTACTTACGAACCTGTACATCTTTCCTCACTCTTTGACGGCTTTGGTTATATTTATTAAACAGTTTACAAGCATGAAAACTTGCCAATCAACTGTTGGTATTGTTATAAACAGCCTCCTGGTGCTTCGGAGCTCATTATCTGTTTAATAATTGTAAACAAAGCCGCCAAAGATTGAGAAAAGATGTACAGGTTCGTAAGTGCTTGCCTAACTGTTTCGTGAATCTGGCCCCAGGATCACAGCACAGAACACCCCGAAGGACAATTAGCTGTATTACACCTAGCAATTAATATATTTATATAACACAACAGGGCTATCAACAATTATGATAACATACTAGGCCGCTAAAGATAGCAAACGCGTAATCCAAGTAAACCTTGGAATCTCAGTAATGTTAAAACCACTATGAAAAGAAATTAAGTCTAATCAAATGTAAATTACAACCTATAAAAGGTCTGAGAACACTATTACAAAGAGAAGCTATGGAACCAATGCAATGGGATCGAACTGGCGTCCCTGGACTCCCCCTCCACGCACTACCAACTGGGCCATGATGAGCGGTTAAAGCCAAGAAATGTGTGAACTAACAGCACAGGGTATCTACCAAGTAATGTGATACAGTAATTGCCACGATTATGTTACGATATCCTTAATTACCGTGACGATAACCCAATTGTCACCGTCTACTATTGCGACAGTTCATAATGTAGTACATGTGTGTGTTACACAAAGTATTCATAGACGTATACTTTTCACTGGTATACCCAGATTATATCTCAAGTGAGTCCTGGGCGATCTACTCCTAAGGCCGGCCTGGAGTCAGGCTATAACTTGACCTAGAAGGCTGTTGCTTGGCGCGCCCCGCAGGCCTACGTAACCATTAAAAACTTGCTCCAATATATTATTATAATCTACATATTAAACAACCCCATGAGTGAGAAAGCATTATCATCATTCATTAATATCAAATGGTTAAGAAATTTCGACCTAACGGCCCTAGATACCCGAGCCAAGAGTCATTATTTACGCAACTAAAGATTTTTTTTTTATTTTTATTATCAGGGGAAAGCGCCAAGCCACAGCTGGCTACAGCATCCACCACCTTCCCCAACCCCAGAGCGCTTCAGCAACATCCTATTCTCCCTGCCATACAATAACGCGGAAGCAGGAGGCCAAAACCAATTCTTCAAAGGACACTATTCGCGTTCGTGTCAGCCCTGGCTGTAAGGGACGAGACTTGCTACCAGACCAAAAAAAATATCGAACTTGTAAATGATTTTGCGGGAGGGTTATCGGCGTGTGTTGTGTTGGTGCCGAGGGCGGGGCGGAGGGCGTGGTTGCCTCGTCTGGGGATTAGGGCCAGCTTTATGTCACGTTGACCTGCACGAAGAACTGTTGGAAGACCTCAGACGCCTAGAAGGATGCTGGTGGAGGATGGGACGAGACGTGGAGAAGAAATGTGGTTAGTGTACTGTGGAGGACACCAGGGAATAGAGGACACGGGGGAGGAGGGACCTCAAAATGGTTTCAGTTGACATGGGAGACTCATGGAGCATGGGAAGCATAGAGGGAAGCGAGCATCAACAATTGTGCATTAGAGGGACACACACACAACATACAGGCGAGGCATTAGTGAGGGTGGGCAGGGGGGGGGGGATCACCATGGAGGTAGGAAAGAGGGCTTTTGGGGCAAGAGGGACGGGCGCCTGTAAGTGGGGTCCGTGGGAAGGGAAGGGAAAGGGGGGAGGAGTTTGCTGCACATATATGGAAGGGAAGAAAGAAGGATATAGTGAATCAAACGGAGAGATTAGCCAGTTAAAAAGGGAAGGATTTGGGGGGGGGGGTCAACCACGCTAAGCTGCTCAATGCATTCGTAACAATAAAAAGCTTTGCGGACAGCTTTTTCTGAAAGGCATCAACTAAAATGGAACATATAAAAATAGGGGAAACTGCGATTCTGATGTCGGCAGCGTAGCTTTATGTTCGAGTGAATGTAGGGGCAAGCGTGGGCCCGCCCTGGAGACCCGAGACGGAGGCCAGGAGACAGGGATGCTGGTCTCCAGGTCTTAAACACATGGCGGGGGATCATTAACCTATCATAACACTTCTTTCTACTCCTCTTCCCTCGCCTCCTTCCTCCTCTTCCCTCGCCTCCTTCCTCCTGAGTTCAAAAGGTGAGAAGAAACGGAATTTACTTTTTAAATGTAAAGCTGCAGTGTGTGTACGTGTCCAGGGGATTTAGATATCCGAGAGGTCGGGATAGAAGGAAGGACGTAGAAAGAACGAAGGAGAGGGAGTCAGAGGACTTTAAGAAAGTTGAGGTGGAGAGGGACCATAAGGCAGGGGAGGGAGAAGCCTCCAACACACACCTCTCTCTCTCTCAAGCCTCATTAAGCCGGGGATTACCTAAGAGGTCGTCTATTAAGCTCGACGTGAGCCTTGACGTTTGTTATGAATCGCCTCCAGCGAGGCTCTTCGGCCCTCGGCCACGGAGAGATCACCTTTGTCAGGTCTTGTGAGCCAGAGTCGAGCCTGCCTCTCGCCACGGGCTTCAACATCTGCCCCCCCCCCCCCCACACACACACACAACGTTGCTCTATGTATTCCAAACACGGATCAACACACTCGCATCAAAAGATCTCTCAGAAGACAACACAAGTTCATATTAGCCCCGCCTCCACCCCCACCCAAACAACAACAACATGGCCGGAACACAAACAAGGGGACACAGGTGGAAACTTGGTACTCAAATGTTGATGACTTAATGTAGACGAAGTCATCAACAACAAAGCCTGGCCGGCATCCAGAAGTACATTAACACTCGAAACGGTTTCATGGGTAAATCAAGGTAAATCCATTAAAAATGCGACGTACTGCCACACTTTAATGTTCCTTGACAATGACTATGCATTAACTTCCGTGAGTAAGGTGGGTCGAGATATATGATGCTGTGATGAACACACACACTACCATCATCTGTCAGTCAGCTGACACCATCAGTGTTACCCTGACTCCACCTTAATGGGATGACTCATATCATCAAATCACAGTGCTTATTATCAATCCATTACGATGCAAAGGTTAAAAAAATAGCCGCACAGAAAAACACAAGTACACTAGGGTCATTAATATTGATGTATTATCCAGTAAGTAAAGTGTCTCATGTGAGCTTATAATACTCGCTCCTTAAACTCTAAGCTATCATCACGGCACCAGTACTAAGGAGAGCGACTCGTCACTACAAAGTCAGTATCGAGCATAAGCTGTGACTCCACAGTCTGGAGTGTCATAATATGACTGGTGCCAACCTCTCATCGGCACAACTGCCACTCCCCCCCCCTACACACCTCCCACACGCTCCCTCCCTATATCCCAGCAATTACCTCGACCCAGCCTATGACAACGCAGTCAAAAACGTCACTTGAAAGTTTCAGGACATTTCAATGGGCCGAACAGGCTTAAGACCAACAGGCTTAAGACCAACAGGCTTAAGACCAACAAATAACTTATCCCTAAGACAGCCCTCCCGAGAGAGAGACACCTATGGCTCTCTCCCGTAATCTATGTTATCTAACAGATACTTAACGTCAACACCCGGATATCCCGCCATCCCCCCCCCTTAAAATAAATATATATACAAGTAAATGTTTTTCTTTTCCCGCCAACGTTTGCGGGAGTTG